GTATTTTCCTGTGTTGACAACTGATAACTGCTTTCACGCATCACAAAGGTGTTCTCTTGGGAATCTCTTCAGCCACATGAAATGAAACCCACCTGTTCTCACTACCTCATTAACCTTATTTATTTAGGGTGTTCTAATGCCTGTATTTTTGTTAAGACTGGCTGGCCTCAAATATAGAGAAAGGCCAGCCTTTACCTATGTTCTTGTATTAAGATGTACAGGTAACCCCCATACTTGTTTATATACCAAAGGAGCCAGACAGCGGCATTTTGACCCAGTTTCTGGTTAGTAGAGGGAACGGCTATAGAGGGGGTGGGGGTGTGGGGAAGGTAAAGGTAGTTTGTTTTTTCCAAGTCTTCATGGCAATTGTCTCTTGAATTACAAACATTGTTTAAAGCTGAGAATTGAGGCAGAACCCTTAACCCAAGACCATAAGGTTTCTTGGCTCATATATCCTGAGGAATGATTGAGCCTAAAATACTCAAATTTTTCCCCCTTTCCCTTGAAAGCCACTATCTTTTCCTGTTACCATCCCACCTACAGAAAAATCCCAAGATAAAACCAAACTAATAAAACTTTCCATTCTACCCTCAGTCCCAACATGTGGGACTCTGAGACAAATGACCTATTTCTCCGTGGAGCCTGTTTCCTACTAGTTACTAATGTACTGTCTTGGTCCTGAAATATCAGTGTTTAAACAGATACATGTAAATTACTTTCATGCCCTCAAAAGGCTTAAAGAAAAGCAAGAGGTAATCGTGTGCCTGTGTGCACTTGTGAGTGCAAGCCACACAACTCTGGGCATTCTTTAGGCATCATCTGTCTTTACTCTGAAGACTGGCCTCTCACTGGCCTGGAAATTACAAAATAGACAAGGCTTGTTAGCTAGCAAGCCCCAGGGATCCTCAAGTCTCCAACAACTTGTTGCTGGGATTACACACACTCACCCATGTATGGTTTTTTTTTTTTTGTTTTTTTTTACTTACATTACATTTCCTTGCATGTATGTCTGCATATGTATGCCTGATACCCAGAAGCCAGAAAAAGGCATTAGATTATGCGGGACCAGTTACAGGCTATCTTGACTCACCATGAGGATGCTGGGACTTGAACTTCATCTGGAAGAACATCCAATGTTCCTAACAGTTGAACCATCTTCTCCAACTTACTGGCTTCTTAGTTTTTTTTTAATGTAATTAGTCATTTGCTATCAACTAGGCTGGCCCAGAACGCAAGAGATCTGCCTCCTAGAGGTTGATTAAAGATATGTGCCACCATGCCTGACTCCCTGGTTTAAAGCTGAACTTGGGTCCCTATGCTTTGCAAGGGAAATACCACCTTTCCAGCCCTAACTAACCACACACACACACACACACACACACACACACACACACACACACACCTTTTTTTAAATGATTTCCATTACTATTTTTCCATCTCTACTTTCAAATTTTATTTGGACTGTTTTACCAAAAAGTCCCATTTCTTAAATACTGGTTCCTACACATAAAACTTGAACTTGTATTAAGTTCAAATGATCCACCTCAACCTCCAAATAGATGTAATCATAGACTGCACTTTACCTGGTCTGTCTCACACACTTTTTTTTAAAAAGGCTACAGAGATAAATGGTTTTAGTGGTCACCTCGTTTTTTAAAACCTAACCCAAGGCTGAGTCCATTATGCAGTGTTAATGACCACTGCGGAACTAAGTGTGCTTAGCCATCGACTATCAAACCGTCTTCTTGGCCTCTGCACCAGATCTAACTTTCTTGTCTTGTGGTGCTAGGGGTTGAAGCTACGGCTTTTCCATAAGCTTCGTAAATGTTCTTCCACCAAGTACACCAGAGCACTTGTGCAGCTACAAGGATATTTACTACCAGACGATTTTACTTGGTTGTTTTACCCTTTTAGGCCATAACTTACTAACGACGTAAGTAAAACACTACACTTTTACAAACACTGCCAACTGGACTGGGTAAAATGCTTGCCTAGCAAGTACATACCACTGGGCTTTATCCCCAGAATTCCATAAACTGGGTGGGATGATGCAGGCCAATAATCACAGCTCCTGAGAGGCGGTGACAGGAAGATTTAAGTCATTTTCAGTGATACAGTGGGCATGAGACCAGCCTGGGCTACATAGTACCTTGCCTCAACAAAGATACCAGCCAACAAACTTCACTTTGGAGGTTTCTTTTCATTACCATGTACAGTGCTTAAAAATTGCACTGCTTGAGGCAGTAACTGGGATACTTAGGTGTTTACACAACAGGCACAAAAAAGCATTGTTTTAAAATGTCACACAAGCCAGTTTCTAAGACACGTTAATGAATAGTGTCAACCAATCCTAAATGCTTTTGGAGGGACAAATGCAAGGCCAAACCAAAGGGATGTGGTATTCCTTCCTGTAACCACACCCCTCCCTTTTCTCTGTGTAGCCCTGGAACTGACTCTGTAGACCAGGCTGACTTTAAACTTACAGAGTCTCTGCCTCCCAAGTGCTGGCTGGAGTTAAGAGGTACACTACCATACCTTCCCACTACTTCTGATAAAAAACTGAGCAATTAGCATCTATAAAAGACTAGCCTAGCTGCAAATCCTGAGATTCGAGGATATAGGAGTCAAATGTTTCCTCCAAGTTTAATTCTTTTTCTTGGGTCAGAAATTCGCTACATTTAAAAATTTTCATAAATACAGAGCTTGAAAGGGGCAGGTGGGAGAACACATCAGTTTTTACCAAGGAAGGGGAACTGAACCAGCAGAAATGATAATCATGACTTTGGGCCCTAAGCTGAAAAAGCAGCTTTTAAAACACCTTCCTAATGAGTTTAACCACAGCTCATTAGCTATATTATTAAAAGAATAATTTAGGAAACACTTTATGAACTAAATATTCTATAAACCAAATATTCCAGTGACTCACACTGGGTTTATACAATTAACTGTTAAGGTGCATACGTGGGCGCTAGCTACCAATGCTTATTGTGGCAGCTAAAAGACGAAGAGCTAAGATTTGGGATTCTTAGCTAATTTTAAGTTGTCAGCCACTACAGACCTACTATTCTCAGAATTGAGCCAGGAAAGAACCACTTGACATAAGCTGAGAAGTCAACTGGAAACCCTCACAGAAGGAAAACTGTCTTTATTGAACACTTTGGCTAGACTATATTTTTATAATGTCCCATCTGTAGTATCTATCTCAAAATCACTTCTGTCTACACCTAAGCGTGAGTGTTTTTAAAAATGACAGGAAAGGGAACTCAGTAATTAAGTTGTTAAAACTATTGAATTCCCTGTTGTGTATTTCCTCCCTACTGCAGTAAAAACTCAGTTTAATTTGCAACTTAAAACCCTTAGATACAAAGAATGTTTGTATTTACTGTTGGATTTATAAATTACTACTTAAACGGACTTGTTGAACCTCTGTAAAAGTTTTAAACAAATATAAAATCTTGTTAGCTTAAGCATACTTTTCATTTGTTACTATCCAAGCTAGGCAAAAAAGCCAAATCAAACTTTTTGAGTAAAATTTTAGCTAATTTACTACGTATTCGTCATCTCTGAAAGGTCTGGTTGTAAATTATAAAACTGACACAAGTCATAAGAAAGTCATCTGTCCTTTGTTACCTAATATTTTTAAAGAGAAATAAGCTGAGACTCAACACTAAAATCAGACCACACTAAATACAGATGAATGGACACATACTTTACAAGTACTTTTAAAATCTGAGTTAGAATAATCTGTTGCTTTTTGGTTTGATGCTTAATCTTCACAGATTAATAGAAACACCACTAAATACACTTTTCCCCCTAGAAATCAAAGCTCCTTTATCTTTAATCTACAGCAGTTTTCAGCTAAGGATACACACCTGAATCAACTGCGGTGTTCCAGAATTCAGACAGGAATTCTTTAGGAATTTTTTATTATAAATTTCACCGGTTCCCATTAAGTATGTTCTAGTGTAAAAATTAAAACCCAGGAATTACTTGATAGTGTTTCAGTAGCAGTATTATACACTGCTGTTTAAGTAAAGGAAATGAGTGACTCACGTGTGATACAGTAGCTTTAAAACACACTAGCTCAATTCTTGAGGAGAATGAGAAGTTACACACAGCTAGTAAGTGGCGAGTCAGGAGACAGTGAGCAGTCTGCTGCTAGTCTTTGCTCCTCTACTCCTTTCAATTTAGTTCAAAGAAACCAACATCATCAACTTAACACTAGGATATCCCAAAGGGCTACATTTCTAAATCTGACCAAGAGCTGTTGTACTTATTTTCAGAACAAATAAATGTAAAATCACTTCTATTCCTTTACTAAGACAAAGCCCTTAAAGAAAATACACAGAATGCCCACAGGCTAAGGCAGAGTGGTCTCAGTCACAACAGAACTGCCAATAAAGCACCAACTAAAGTACTTTTCTAACATACCAAAACAGTAGCAACCCTTTTTTTTGGGGGTGGGGTGGGGGGGGAGACACAATTATACCAAGTGACTTGCTGCTATGTTTTCATCTAAGGAGTTCCTTGCAACTGTTGTTGGGCTACTTAAGACATCTGTTAAACAGCAAGATGAATGACTTTTTCACTTAGGAGTTCTCAGGTTTATTACCCTCTACCCTGCCAGCTTCTGGTAGTAGGGTCTAAGTGCCTTAAGCATCTTAGGCGAACACTCTCCAGTAACCCTTTATCTATGTGACCTGTGCCTTTTTTTTCTTACATATTTATGAAGGAAACCCTGAAGGAAAAGAGTTTACCTCACCACTGTTCTAAAAATTTCACTTTACTAAGACAAATTTTACAAAATAATTTATAAATAATCTCATACATGCCTAGTAATTAATCCTGTATGACTCCATTTCTTATACCCAATGAAGGAATTCTCCAGGATGAGAACCATTTAGCAGACTCCACTCTCTTCCATGGTGGTTCTGTGTACAAGTCCAAGGCTCACTACATCAAAGCTGGCAGCTACAGACTCCGCCCCTTTGTTAACACACTGACGATTTTAAAAACACTTTATTTATTAAAGTTAAACATACAAAACTGAAATTAACACACTCTAAAAATTATCTTCTTCCAATTAACAGGAAGACCTTTTTTCTACCTTTGTTTTGGCTTAAACTCAACTTGGGATAACTGTGGTGCTTCACACTTATGCCAACAAATGCTGGCAACTTGATCTCGTTAATAAAAAGTACAAACTCAGCTACATGAACATAATATACAGGGAAATTATGGTCAGATTAATGCACAAGAAATACAGGAAATTTTAATCATGAAACATTGAGTACTCTTGTTCATTAACTTAGCCTTGGATTTTTACAAAAATAGTATCTACACTGTACACAGGGCTGTACATCAGCTTTTGTTTTCCCATAGAAACAGTACACATCCCAAAATGGTACCACTACCACAAGTGAAAAGTCAACAAAGGAAAAAAACAATACAAAACACCAAATAAACACCAGAGAAGGGGAGCACATCCTAAACATGGTTTGTTTGGTTTTTTTAATATAAAATTCAAACTCAATGACAAAAAATACAAGGTGAGTCAATTGTAGAGGTGACCTAAGAGGCCCAGGAAACAAGTAATTCAAGGGAAAAAACCTCAAAATAAACTTTGCCATTTATAAATTAACCTATACTCAGGCTTGTCTGGACAATGGCCAGGTTGTAAAACTGAAGAAGCTCTTGTTAGCAGGCTGGCGTTTTGCCTCGATGTTCCAAAGAACTGTTGGAATATGTCAAGTGCAAAGCATCTGAAAATTCCAAGTCAGGACTTATAAACTGTCTACACAACACTTAAATGGGGTTTGGAGTTCGTAAGTCATCTAAGTGCTGACTTAAGCAGCATTTACCTAGAAAAGTTGCCTTGTTCAACATACTGAGGAAGCTGTGGTAAGTAGTAATGAAAGGTTAAATGATAGCAGTTATCAAATGTCTTCAAGTTTCATTCTACCAAAGCCAAACAATGACAACAATGTATCTTCCTTACTCCTCTAACAAATAATTTACCTTTAGAAAAATATAAGGATAAAAAGGTAAATGTAAAGCCCTGCAGAGATGAAATCCAACAGTTTTTCTGATTATTGAGGCATCAAATGCCTGACATTGTATTTGGATGTATCTTGATACTGTGTCATGGGCTTGTCAGCAATTCCACAAGTTCCTACTCCAACTTTGCCCGTTACACTTTCTGGCGAAGCAAAAATACTCCTCTTTACCTAGAAACAAAATCAAAACAATTTCTGATCAGTTTCCAAAAACAAACCTCTAACATAACCTAACAAAACTTTAATGTTAACATATTCATGTTTCAATGCTTACAAAAATATTTTGTAGAAAATACCACAACATATCACTAATAGAAAGCTTACTTGTCATTTAAAGCATGAGCTATCTATTTTGGTATGAACAGGATTCTGGCTGTAGGGCGTGTATGCTGAGACCTGCTGTAGTACACAGCAACGGCAACCACGTCCAATGAGGTGCGCCCTGATTGCAATGAAAAGCTAAACTATGGGTGGGCGTCAGGTATTCTGTATTTTGAATATCTGAATTCTAAGTTATTTTTTACCCAACAAAGCATATCAAGGACTTAAAAAGCTTTTTTACGTAGATACTCAGAATAAAACTACGTTAAAAAAGCAGAGCTCAGTATATTTTCTGAGAGGTCTGAAGGCAGCAAATTCCTTATATAAACTCGTTTTATTGCAAAAAGTGCCTAATGACTACTGACAAGGATTATATTTCAAGAATTGGTTAATGTCCTTTGGAAAATCTACACCTCCTTTTTTCATTTTGAAATTCTTTTACTGGCAGCTGCATCTTCAGACCGACAAAGTGAGGAGGTTATACCGACCTGGCCCTTCTTGTTTTTTGAGTAAGCTCTGTTGTTGAACTGTTGCCACTTCACCTTCTGGTCCTCCCGCTCCTGTTCAAGCTCTCTTATCCTCTGGGCTTTCTTCAAAGCTTTCTTCTTTTTATATTCACGTTGCTGGGCAATCATTTCTTTTCTGTAAAAAACACAGACGTAAATGTCAATTATTAAGATTTATAAGATAACTTCCTTATAATGGTGCAAAAAAAACCCAAAACTTAAAATACTAATTTATTAATAAGAACACAACTTTTCATTAAAAATCAATGCCAAAATCTAGGTGTGGTATATAGCATGCTTATGATCACAGGTGGAAGCCAGAGGGCAGAACTCAAAGCCCTCCTTGCAAGGCTGGAAGCCAGTCTAGGATAGGCCAGACCCCATCGTAAAGAAAGAAAAACAGGACTGAGGAGAGATGGCTCAGCGTGTAGAGGAATCTGCCACCAAGCCCATGAGCTAACCTGAGACAACCATGGGCCCACAAGGTGGCAGGAGAATCAACTCCCTAGTTGTCCTCGTGTCCACATGAATCTACACAATAATAAACAAATGTAAAATATGCCACTCACCGAGTACTAGTAAGACATGTTCTTTTAGAAAAAGAAGGTAGATACATAGCTCAGTGGTAGAACACGATTGCCAAGACCATGAACTCTATCCAGAAATGACAACAACAACTTCTGTGCACACACACTTAGGTCTACTACAAAGTAAATCAAACCTTTCAAAGACTTTAAATATAACTTTTGCTGGTTGTACTTCAGAAATGTTACTATTCAATACACGTGATGGTACATACATACATACATACATACATACATACATAATCTTACTACTTGGGAGATGGAGGCAGGTTTATGGGGGGGAGGGTTGTTTGTTTTTTAATTCAGAAGGCAAGAGTGAAACAAGCAACTAGCTCTAACAAGGTTTTATAATATGAAATTAATCAGAGTGTTTAATTAAATGTTATTTTAACAAGTGGTATTTTTCTAAATTCAAGTACATTTACGTACATTTTGGAGTTTTTTTCCAAAAATCAGAAACACATTTATCAGTCAGTCTTGAAACACACACACAGACACACAAAGCGCTCACACAAAGCACACAGACTCAGAACTTTGTCTCCTGTTATGTCTTATAGACCTGTGGTCCCAAGTTTTCATCGAAAAATTTTGTTACTTCTAAAATCAGAAGTGCCTTCTGTGCTCTTCAGAGGAGACATTCACTAAACAGTGAGAACTGCTATACACTTTACTTCACAGATGAGGCAGATGTTAAGTTTGTTCAACATTAATTAAAGAAGGGTCAGAAAAAAAATATATTTCTAACCAATGTCACAATGCTTTGTTTACTTTCTTAACTCTTGTTTCAGTCATTCGTTTTAATGTTATTTTCCTAAGGAAACGCTCCTGGTAACTACGCTCCCACTTTTGTGGTACTAACCATTTGTACTTGTTAGGCAAGGCTCCAAACTAAGCTACATCCTTAGCCCTAAAACACACTTCCTCAATTACGTGTTCTTTTCTGACTATAGCTTCAGCAGGAACAAGTCAAGACGGTGTTCACTGTACTTTAGTCTTAGGACCTGACTTACAAAAACCTAGTAGATGCTCTTAACAGTGGGATCTTCTTTAGTGAAAGCGTTAGTACAGTCTCCACTTTACTCAGGCATACATGCTCATCTGATGCTGTACTTGTGCAAATCAATGTTAAACAGTATTATAAGTTTGTTCAATGCGACCCATATGGATTATCTTTGTAGATTACTTCAAATATCCAAATGGGGGAAACTCTAGGTTTCAAGTTAAAGTCAGTTACTTTAGCCAGACCCTAGCTTATAACCCGAGGACTCAGAGGAACAAGGTAAGAATGAGAAGTCTGTGCCGGCCTGTGCCACACAGCGAGTCTGCCCATCTCGGGCAACAGTCACTCACTTTGACATGGGTTTGTTGCCACTGTCCTCTTTTGCCTTCCTTCCTTCTTCCACAGGCTTGAGGTTCAACAATGGAGTCACTTCAGCATTGCCATAAACAGCAAAGGTGATTGCAGCCGTGCCATTTTCTTCATCTATCTCTTCAATCTCCGCTTCATAACACCTGTAAAGATATCATGGCTGTAAGCAGGTGAGTAAAGATTTAGTACTCAGCCTACAAGACTTACACTGCAGTGATGTTAATTATCATGTCTCTAAAATAAACTGCAATCAAATGGCCCTTTTGGCAAAAATAACAAGAGGTTTAAAGTTAGGCACCTGGTATCAAAGTCCTAATTTAAATTTACCAGAAAAATCTCTAACACATCTACTCACTGTACTAAATCTCTGAGAAAAGCTAATTCCTAAATGATTCATTTCAGTGTATGAACTTTAGTGCATGAGAATACCAAGCACTCACTTTTTAATTTGAGGAGAAAACAATTCCCATCATTTGAGAAAACAGCCATTCATCTTTCTTTTCTTTAGGAGCCAAGCACTCTTCTCCCCAAACGTAAACTAAACCTAAAGTTAAGCTGCGCTAATGACCACCACCCAAGAATTACACTAGCTCTACAGATGGCCTTACCTACACAGATTAGCATGGAGCAGTTGTGACTGCACAGACACGTCTTACCAGTGCATCCTATTAACTCATGTTACAGTGAGAGGGCGGTTCTCTACACTTACTGTCCATCCTCACTCCAGACGGCCATGCACTTGTCCCCTACTTTCCATGAGTGAGTAGGCTGAGTGGAAGCAAAACTGTCTGAACTTGTAAGAGTTTCCGAAGGCTGAGTTGACAGAAGGTCTTTGGTCAGTTCTATTACTTCCTAAAAAAGAAAACAAAAGCTGTAACATTTGTAATTTAATACTGTCAACTACTTTTGGTTTTTAATGATAGTCCTTATATCACAAAGCAGTTATGCACATTACATGTACAATTCTGAGTGAAATTGAGAATACTGTTTCTATACCCATATAGAGACATATAGGAACATTATATACAAATAAACTGATTTAAACCTACATAGGCATCTTCAACTTAACTGTAAACACTATTGGAAATAAAAGCAGACAAGTTTCAGCCACATCCGACTTCTAAATGCCTTTTGTGACTGAATAGATTTCTCTACAGATGAGAAATAAGACTGATTTGATTCAAGGTCACTTTTACAGCTACCACGTGTTATTTCATGCAACTACACTTTCACAGGGCATTATTTGGCAGAAATAGTCAACTGTGTGGCCAATGCACCTCTTCTACAAAGACCCCAGACACTGCAAACAGTTTCATTAACACACAAAGTTCCTACTTATACACATTTCTGCCAAAATACTCAAAAACATAAGTAAACTAGTAATTTTCACCCCATTTAAGTGAGAACTATCAAGTTAGATTTAAAATAGCTTACACCTACTTATCAGGCACAGCAGCACAGCTTCATTTTAAAGGAAAAAATAAAAGTAACTCACACAGGCAGGCAGTGCCTCTGTGTGGCCGTTATTTTTCTAATTCAGGCTTCTGTGTATTAGTTTGACTCAATGGTGTATTAGGAATAGTTTAGAACTTGACAAATGATAGAAACAGGTACTTAACTACTTATTTGCTACTTTCTTTCTCTAATGAAGACGTACAGTGTCCACTATCTAATTTTCAAAGAACTTGCCTACTGGTTTCCCACAATGTTGCATTTAAAACATCATATTCTATGTTTGGGGACAAATATAACAAAATTCAACTCTTATTTAGTTTCTATGAGCACACACTGAGGTTTTGTAATGGTCCTTTTGGTTCAGTAGCCAAGAAAAGTTAAATATTACCTCTCCTAAGATTCTAAGTCTTCCTGGCTACTTTTGAAAAACTAGTACTTGTACCTTAAAAAAAAAAAAAAAAAGGAATATTAAATGGGGAAGAAGGTTCAGCTTTGTGAATCAAAACAGAACAAAACAAACTAGAATTGGGTTGAAAATTTAATTTAAAAAAGTTTTGCCAAGTAGACACCATCTTTCCCTTTCTTTGAGTCACAAGAGGTGATGCACTGCTTTCTATTCAGTAGTTCTGCAACACTAAAGACTGAACCTAGGGTCCTGTGCAAACCAGCAAGTGCCCCAATACGGTCAAACCTATAGCCCTTGAATATTTAATTAAACAACTATGTAAATAAAGCAGGACAGTTTCCTACAATACAGTAATCTAGCCAATTCTGTTCTGTTAACTACCTTCAGAGCCAGCAAGGTAAGCTGACAGGCCTGCGTCAGGAGCCCACTGTCTGTATCACTAAATGTTTTCATCTCCTTCCAGGGATCTTGTATTTAAAGCACAAATATGTAGTCTGTAAGAAGTCTCAGATTTACAACATTTTCTTATATGTCAGAATATTTCCCAACCACATTACTAACACAACACATTCAAAGAAGAGTCCTGAAAAGCTGTGCATAATTTTCAAAGCCCTGTGCCAAGATGGCCCTTCTTATAAACAACAAAATCCAGAGCAATTTCTCCTGATGTCCTCCTTTAACTGTCATCTTACATGTCCCTCCCAGTAATTTATGAAGAACCTTCTCAACGTTTGTCTTTACATGTATATGGAGCAAAGTATTAGAAAAACTATTTTATGTATGAGGGGGTTCTTGAAGGTACATACCATTAATTACTTTTCCTCCCCCAAGTCTGAGTTCTGAAACTGCTCCTTCATTGACAGATGGGCAGCAGTTACAGTAATCGGCAATTCCAGGAAGCATCAGATGTTGTGATCTACATATCAGCAGGTCAAGGGGGGTGCACTCAAGCACTCTGCTTACTGAAGGAAGGCGTTTCGGGGATGCAGAGAGCCACTGTAATATATGAGACAAGTGACTTGACCCCTGCCTCCTTTAGAACCAGTTTATTCAGCAATACAGCCTAATAAATTGACTATTTTTGTGATTACTATAGACTGCCCAGGGAACTAATGAACTAGCTAGCCTGATTTTACTATACCTACTTTCTTTTCTAAGTCAAAAAAAAAAAAAAGCAGTCAGGACTTCAAAAGATTAATTTGTTGCCTGAATTTATTATCTATATGAAAGACAGAAACATGGAATCCTTACTGGAAAAATAAACATAAGGTATTAGAAGCCATTATGATGATGTCCCCCTTAAAAAAAAAATACAGAAGCCACAAGCTGAATAATCAATCTAGCCGGGCGGTGGTGGCGCACGCCTTTAATCCCAGCACTTGGGAGGCAGAGGCAAGCGGATTTCTGAGTTCGAGGCCAGCCTGGTCTACCGAGTGAGTTCCAGGACAGCCAGGGCTACACAGAGAAACCCTGTCTCAAAAAACAAAAACAAAACAAAAAAAATCAATCTAATCAGACAGGGTTTAAATGATAGTGGCACAAGATGTACATCTACGTCCCCCAAAGGAGTGAGCAGGTGGCTGGAGGTGAGACCCACACAGAAACAGAAGCCACTCTCTAGTCTCAATGCAAACTACTAGGTCAGGAACATACATTCAAATGCTTTCTGTAATTTTACTTATCTTAAGAAATGATTTCCATCTCCCAACAAATTTAAGTTCAAATCATACCTAGTAATCAAAACCAATTTCTCATAATAGAGTAAGAGAAAAAAATTATGAAGACTGGACAAATAAAGTATTCTATCCTGCCACCACTTATGGTATTGTCAGTACTTAGGCTCGTAAAGCATCTGCATCATCCAATATTTAATCAACTGTAGTTATTTAAAACAAAAAATTAAAAATTAGCTCCTCAGTTACCTTAGCCATATTTTAACTATCCAGTGGCTACTTGGAGCTAGTGTCTATGGCATGAACAGCAGACACAGATCATGTTCACTGTCATAGAAGCAAGTTCTACCACAGCTGCTATTCTAACTATCTAGAGAAAAGATACTTTTGTAAACAAAGGACTTCAAAATCATTACGACTTTGCTTTTTTTTTTTTTTTTTAAATAAGTTGAAACTAGGTCTCAGTGTCACCTTGGCTGGCCTGGAACTCTATGTAGCCCAAGTTAACCTCAAGCCCATAGAGATTTACCTACTACCTCTGCCCAATTTGTTTTTTGTGTTTTGTTGACTTTTTCAGTGCTGGGAATTGAACCGTAGGGCCTTGTGTATTCTAAGTAGCTGTATCTCCAGCCTCCAGATCATTAACTAAAAGGCCTTTTAGGTAAACACTGTGTCTACCACAAGAGTTTCTCTCTATCATACTTTCAATTATAGATTACATACCAAGATAGCTGACTCCACACTACAAAGATAATTTACCCTAGAAACGTTTAGAAAGACCTGGTAGTAACACTGTTTGAAACTAGGCTCCCAATTCTCCCTCTACCATTTCTACACAGACCTCTCCTCCCACTGTCCAGGAAGTACAGACAAGTGTTTTTTTTCTTCTTCAAAGAAAACAAAGGACTGCCGGGCAGTGGTGGCACAAGCCTTTAATCCCAGCACTTGGGAGGCAGAGGCAGGCGGATTTCTGAGTTCGAGGCCAGCCTGGTCTACAGAGTGAGTTCCAGGACAGCCAGAACTACACAGACAAACCCTGTCTCGAAAAACAAAAACAAAAAAACAAAAACAAAACAAAACAAAAAAACAAAAAAGAAAACAAAGGACTACTTTTAAGTCAGCAGAGGTAGATGAGGCAGGTTAGTTTGTTTCTGTCACTTCACCTTCATGCATACTCATGGTGCAGGTGAACAAGTCAAATGAGCATACAGGAAACAAACACTGGGTTATTGCTTACAGTTTACAGAAGATCTGGGAGCAGGAGACATAGTTTCCTAAACTATGTTACCTATAATCAATGGCACATGCATTCCATAGGCCTGGCTTCTAAACACTGAAGAACAGTATTATTCAAAGTAAAATTATCCTTCATTATTTTGTTTTTAAAAATAACATATACTTTATTGTAAGTCTAGAACTTGAGTTTGAAAAAGTCCAACTCATTTTAAACTACAGGTAAGATCTTTCAGAATCCCAAATGTATTAAGCCCATTCAAATTAAGTTACATTGGAAATGTGTGTATGTGTCTCTGTGTGTAATATCCTTTTTTTGAAATAGGGTCTTAGTATATAGCTCTAGATGGCCTGGAACTCTAACAGTTCTGCCTCCCTCTGCTTCCTGAGTGCTGGGATTAAAGGCGTACATACACTGCTGGCAAAATCTAAATGATATTTATGGTCATCAAGAAGATAAAGAGAATAACTGTTTAGATGGAACACAGAATAAGCAAAAAATCATCAAAACACCCTGAAAACTAAAGTATCAGGTTCAGAATTTTAAGGACTTTCTTAGAATCAAAGTTTTCATATACAGTATTTACAAATTATAAATGGTACTTTTCTTAATCTGGTGCTCTGAGAAGCAACAGGTATTTTTAAGTTTGTCCTGAAACCCCAGTTCATGCCCTTAGATGTTTTGTTCTTCCTAAACTTTTCATGAAAAGTTAATCTCTTTTTCACACTACTTCAACTTCCACAACTACTCAACAACTACAAAGCCTTATCTTAAGTTCAAATACCTATATAACATCCGTACAGACAGAAAGTCATCTCTTAACACATTTTCATGATGTAATTTTAATAAAAGTATATACCTCAGTAGCTTTGAAAAAAAGGTCACACTTCATTTTCAGACAATTTTGTGTCACTAAAAAGGATTTTAGTCAGACTGTATATTCCTCCCTTAATAGTGTTACCTTTTGAACTAAGTTTCCTTGTCAAGTCTTTTAAAATAAAAGCATATTCCATTGCAAGATTTCTTCTCATAAAATCCTATAAGCACACACAAGATTTACAAAACCCTGAGTGTTTCGTTCATTCTGATGTACACCAAATGGAGGAGCTAATTTTAGAAGGTTCAGTACCTGCATATATACATACACATATAAATATGTATACACATATACATGTATACACACACACACATACACACACGTATATATACACATATATACATACATATATACATATACAAGTGGGAGCACCTTCCTCACAGATGCTTTGAGTGCCTATGAATTTTGAATGCATATTTTGAAAAAGACAAATATTATTTTAAAATGACATTAACTACAACTGTCCACCTATACTTACTTGCAAATCCTTCTTCAGTTTCAGGAGATCTTCATTTTCCCCATTTCCGGACAGTGCAGCTTCTACTTGCTGAAGTTGCGCTTTGTAGCTAGCCAACTGTTTTGCTAGATCCTCTGACATCTGAGGAAAAATGAAGGCCCAGAACTCGAGTCAAATATCAAACTACAAAAAAAAAAAGATCTTTCTCCGACCCGCCTAATTCAATCGATTTTGCTACAAAACTGAAGTTTTATTCATCATCACGTTTTACTTTACTCAGATTTAGCTAACCCACAAACTTCAAGGCAATAGATTCTGAAGACTGCAAACACGTCTGATAAAGTCTACACAAAAAGATCTCCCAAAAAGCATGCTATTAAAAAAAAAAAAAAAAGGAAGGAAACTGATAGTTATGTATTCCTACGATAGTTAAAGAAGACTGACTCCACAAGTCAGATAAAACGTTTTCGGTGAACCACACAGTTCCTTTCTCTACCGTCCTCAGAACGCACTCTTCACACAGAGGTCATCTTAGCAACCTGCCTTCCGCCAAACACAGCTCAGCGTCCCCCAGAGTACAAAGTCCCTTAAAAGTGGACGCCAACAAAACATACGGGTCCTCCGAGGACCACCTCCGGAACATTCCGGCCCACCGGAAGCCTGGAATCCCGGCAGACCCTTCCCGTCCGACGGGCTAAACAAGCCAGCCGTCCTCCCTGTCAGCCGCCACTCCACAGCCCGCCATAATTCCGTCCATCATTTCGGACCAGGAAACACAAAACCTCAGCTTCCATGGGAACCGCCGAGCCCCGCACCCTCACAGAGGACCCCGTCGGAACGGCGCGGGCGTCTCCCCCACCCGACGGGTTCCCCAGGACAGCCACGTTCGCCGCCTGGGCCCGGAAGCCCCCACATAGGCCAGGGCCACCCGCTGGGGGTGCGAGAGCCGCTGGATCCTCACACTGCCCCGGCCGGGTCCAGGTCTGAGGCCTCCGCCTCAACTCCAGCCCGAGGCCCGAGGAGGCCTGACTCTCCCTCAGAGGTTCCTTACCTTGTGTGGGGCTGGGGACGGGACGGCGGGCAGGGGTCGGGGAAGCGAGCCGAGCGGCGGCAGGGGCAGCTGCAGCAGGGAAGATTTCCACTAGGACGAGACTCGGTCGGAAAAGGAAAAACTCCGCCGGCGAGGGGGGGAGGGGAGAAAAGCCGGGCTCGGGCAGGAGGAAAAGACAAGGCGAGAGAGATCTCGCGAGATGAACAAACTCTCGCGAAATGGCGTCCGGGTCACGTGATCCCCCGCCGTCCTCTAAGCAACCCGCGATTGCGGCCTCTGAAGGCGGAGTGGGTGTGGTCTGATGCGGAGGAAGTGACGTGTCTGAGCTGCGCCAGGGGCAGAGGGCAGGTTCGTCTTACGTCAGTTCCGCCTCGTGGTGGGAGAGGCGGGTTGTTCTCTGTTGTGGGTGTTGTCCTCGAGTTCCCAGGGGCGTAAACTCGCGAGTCTTCCTAGCAAGCCCTGATGAGCAAGAGATTTAATACCCGGAATGGGCTAGGAGTAATGGCGGGTAAATTGTGTCCCACGAGGAGGTAGAGGCAGGCGGATATGAATCTGAAGGCGTATAGCGAGTTCCAGGCCAGTCAAAGCTGAATGTTCAAAGCCATAGCGAGACCCTGAAGTCAAGAGAAAGGAAGTTTTGTTTTGTTGTGAAGAAAATAAATACAATCAATTAAAAAAATGGAGTGATCAGGATGAGAACACAGTGACTATTTGAGGTGCTTAGGCATCACCCATAGTACCTAAAAGAACCACCCATCCATAATGTGCGATGTTCTTTGGACTTAAATTATTCGAAAGAGTAATGTAACGGCCTTCGTCTTGGCCGTTTGAACACTAGTTCCCAATGCTGTTTGAAGTGGTTTAGAGGTACTCCCTGGCTGGAGAAGTATGCGGCCGAGGCCGACTCGGAGAGGTTAAAGACACACCACTTGCAGTTTGAGCTCTCGGCTTTGTGTTTGCAGCTCCCAACAAATTACTCCAGCCATCATGCCCTCGACCTGCCATTATAGACTCACTCCGGAACCTTAAGCTAAAATAAAGTCGCTAAGTTGTCTTGGTCGTGGTGTGTTCTATCACAGCAACAAAAAAAAGGAAGCGATCCTATTAAAAGGAGTAAGGACTGTTTTAGATTAGAAGATAAAAAGATGGGCATGGTGGCGCCTGTGTGTAATCTCAGTATGTTGTGCCGGAAAATGTTCGTAAACCCCAAAAAGACGACCAAGGAGACGAATCCGATGCAATCGAATTAGGGTCTCTACTCAAGCTCAAGTTTGGGCCACAGCACCGTCTCTGATGGAAGTGGGGGCAGTTTTAGGCAAGCATTTATAGAGGCAAGAAGAAGCTCTTTAGTTGTTGGGTATACATATGACTGGGATCCATTATGGCCTTTAGTGCTGGGAGCCAAACCATAAACTTAATTCCTGTTTGCCCCTTATTGGTGGTTGTTGGGAAGTGAAGTGCCAGGAGCAGGCTTGTAACCTGAGGGCGTAGACTTGTTGGGGAATAACTTGGAAACTGGTGTTGGATGTAGGTTTTGTTGAGGGGTAGCCTGGAAACTGGTGCTAGGTACTGGCCTGTTAGTTTACTTGAGTTTAACCTTGGGTCAGGTTCTCTAAGATGGAGTCTGAACCCAAAAGATTTGGTTTCTCAAGTACAGTGACAGAGGTAGGAGAATCAACTAAAGTTTAAAGAGTGCCTGGACTGATGTGTTTCAGGCCTTCTAGGGCTAATAGCAAGTACCCCTCTCAAGATCCAAACAAGCAAAAAGAGAAATAATAATGAGGTGTATACATTTTTATTGGATCTTTGTATTAGGGTTCTCTAGAGTCACAGAACTTATGGGTAGTCTCTATATAGTAAGGGAATTTGTTGTGATGACATACAGCCTGTAGTTCAACTCCCCAACAGTGGTCAGCTGTGAATGGAAGTCCAAGGATCTAGTAGTTGCTCAGTCCCATAAGGGTAGTAGATCCAACAGATGTGCTGGCAAGTAAATGCAAGCAGTCAAAAAAGAGCTAATCTTCCTTCTTCCAAAGTCCTTATGTAGGTCTCCAGCAGAAGGTGTGGCCCAGATTAAAGGTGTGGTGTACCACCACACCTGGATCTGGAACTTGTTTTGTCCCAGGCTGACCTTGAACTCAGAGATCTTGCTTTAGTCTCCTGGGATTCATAGCCACTATGCTTCAAGATCTCCATGCCAAGATCCAGGTCAGAAACTTGTATCTCCCAGCCTCAAGATCGGTATCACAGGTGAGCCTTCCAATCCTGAATTGTAGTTCATTCCAGATATAGTCAAGGTGACAACCAAGAATAGCCATTACAATCTTAATTTCTAAAAATATGGCTATAAAAAATGTGGACAATCCAGGCAGTGGTGCCACACACCTATAATCCCAGCACTCAGGAGGCAGAAGCAAAATACTAATGTTAATTAAAAAATTGTGGACATGCCAGGCTGGTGATATTGACACAGAGGTAGTGTGGTAGTGTGCTTGCTGACAAGCACAAGGTCCAACCCCAACACACAGATATAGAAATTGGAAGATAGGCAATATTAGATGATGCTAGGATTTAATATTATATGATGCTAAATTGATAGTTTTCTTAGATGTAAATTTTATTTTATAGTTACTTCAGGGAAAGGCCCATGCTTAAGTATTTAGGGATACCTTCAAGTGGTGTGGTCAAAACACTATATGGCATAGCTGGATGTGGTGGCACATGTCTATAATCCCAACACTTGGTGAAGTTGTGAGAATAAGGAAATCCAGGCCAGGCTCAGATATGTAGTGAGTTCAAAGTTAACCTAGGTTACATGAGACTCCCAAATAACAAAAATTATGTAAAATATTTACACAACTCATATGTATAGACACACACACACACACACACACACACACATATATATATATATATATATATATATATATATATATATATGCATGTATAAGTGGTCACGTGAAATTTAGAAAGCAAACTGCTTACAGATATTGAATTCAATGGAGAACGTGTAACCTCTTAATTCCCTGTATATTTGACAATTTTCAAAATGAAAATATAGGGAAAGTATTCATAGCCTGGCAGAATAGATTTTCAATGGTTTCATGTGTGTGTGTGTGCATGTGTGTGTGTGGTTGTGTGTGTATGTCTGTATGTGTGTGCACATGTGCATGTGCATGTATTGTGCCTCATTCGAGACCCCCAAAAGACCACCAACCAGCCAACTCCAATGCAATCACACTAGGGTCTCTGTACTGCCTGGTTTTGTGTGTCAACTCGACACAAGCTGGAGTTATCACAGAGAAAGGAGCCTCCCTTGAGGAAATGCCTCCATGAGATCCAACTGTAAGGTATTTTCTCAATTAATGATCAAGTGGGGAGGGCCCATTGTGGGTGGTGCCATCCCTGGGCTATTAGTCTTAGGTTCTATAAGAAAGCAAACTGAGCAAGCCAGGGGAAGTAAGCCAGTAAGCAGCACTCCTCCATGGCTTCTGCATCAGCTCCTGCTTCCTGCCCTGTGTGAGTTCCAGTTCTGACTTCCTTTTTTGATCAACAATGTGGAAGTGTAAGCTGAATAAACCTTTTCCTCCCCAACTTGTTTCTTGGTCATGATGTTTGTGCAGGAATACAAACCCTGACTAAGACCAATTGGTACCAGGAGTTGGGTATTCCTGTGACAACCTGACCATGTTTTGGGGAAGACTGTGGAAGGACTTTGGAACTTTGAGCTAGAAGAGCCATTAGGATGTTAAGAGCTCTGTTGGATGTTCTGTAGGAGCTTGGAAGATAATGTTGAGAACAGTGTGGAAGATGGAGGCCTGGCTTGTGAAATTTCAGAGGGAAGATTAAAGACTCTTATCAGGGCTGTTGCGATTTTGACTGTGAAGATTCTGTGGTTTTGGTTAGCTGGGGTTGAAGAATCAGCTGTGATTGACAAGACACCAGAACTACTAAAGCAAAACCTTTGCATTACTGGGACAATTGATGCTGGTTAGCTGGAGCTAAGAAGTTAGGGGTAATTAAGAAGAGACCAGCATCACTGAGGTGAAATCTTCTGGGAAGTATTTTCTGAGAGTACAAAGAGGCTGTGTTCTAGAGATAGACAAGGTTGTACCTCGTGCTGCAGCTGGACTTGGTAATGTGTAAGAGTCACTCAGGTGGTACTGGGTTTGAAGGCATGAAAGAGTCATGAAGAACAGCTGAGGCTTGGCACTGGTGAGAGGCCAGGAAAGACCATTGGTGAAGGTGCAGCCTCAGTTGCAATTGATGGCCCAAGACTGAAGGGGTCATGAAAAGGAGTTGAGGCTTGGCACCATGAAGAGAGCCTGTGAGAGACTATTGGTGAAGCCTAGTTGCAGCAGAAGACAGCAGAGTTTTGGAGATGCCAGTACCATGGGATGATCACCAAGAACAGCAGCAGCAGTGGAGTACAGGCACAGGAGCCTAGAAGACAAAGTGTGTGCTACAAAGGGCTGAGCTAGACAAGTGACCCAAGCCCTTGGAGGAAGATCATGAGCCCAGAAGATCATGAGTGGATCCCAGACATTGGACTGTTACAGTTTGACTTTGATTGTGACTGCCCTGATGTTTTTCCCTTTTGAAGGAAGAAAGTATTTTAGTGGAGCCCACAGTTAAGAGACTTTTAATTGTAAAAAGACTTTGAATTTTAAACGAGATTGGATATTTTAAAAGGATTGACATTTTAATATGGAAGAATTTGCGAAGACTGTGGGACTTTTAAAGTTATTTAGCTCTTGGGGATGAATAAGAAAGTAAGGGTTGAGGCTTAATAGTGATGTGTTTGTGTGTCAAGTTGACAAGGAGTTGATTGTACTGCTTGGTTTTGTGTGTCAACTTGACACAAGCTGGAGTTATCACAGAGAAAGGAGCTTCCTGGGCTGGTGAGATGGCTCAGAGGTTAAGAGCACTGACTGCTTTTCTAGAGGTCATGAGTTCAAATCCCAGCAACCACATGGTGGCTCACAACCATCGGTAATGATATCTGATGCCCTCTTGTGGGGTGTCTGAAGACAGCTACAGTGTACTTACATATAATAAATAAATAAAAATTAAAAAAAAAAAGGAGCTTCCTTTGAGGAAATGCCTCCATGAGATCCAACTGTAAGGTATTTTCTCAATTATTGATCAAGGGGGGAGGGCCCCTTGTGCGTGGTGCCATCCCTGGGCTATTATTCTCAGGTTCTATAAGAAAGC